AAAATATAGATTTCATTGGAACCACTCCCTTCACCACCCATATCAACCTGGTACCACAGCAAGGCCATCTCTGAGCGCGGCAAGGTGGCTTGTGCAATGCATTTTGGACCAAGCGTGTGGAACCCTGGCTTGTGGGAAGGACATGATCTCGGAACAAGCAGTCCTGAAGAACAACCCCACCAGGAAACCAAACAATTTGGTATAATTGCAGTGGGTGTTTGGCAAATGTTTGCAGTATATCTTTCAATGATTTTCAATGTCATGTACTGCGTTTTGGGGCTTATCCATATCTCACTGGATGGCACTGCACATGACTGGTGCAGCTGGCATGGAGAGATGATGAACAGGTGCGGGTGTTTGGTCTGAAGTTGGAGTGGCAAGAGTCAAACTAGAAAGTCATGGAAGGCCTCCAAGCCCCCAAACATGGTTTGGCCAAAAACATGTGATGAGTGAGCCGCCCTGTCCGCTCAGCACCCGCAGGCGATGATCGCTTTTGCGATGCTCTCAGTGGTTCTTCCAGGCAGCACTGCCCTGTTTTTTTCCTCAGCGAGCGACGGTCGTTTCTTTTCTTCTGAGGTGTGCACCCGTGCTATTGAGTTAACTTTGTTTTTTTACAACACCACATCAAATACAAAGAAGTTGCTGATGCTTGCAACGCCTTTCAAGCCTGCTCGCTCAAATGTTCATGTGCAAGTTCACTCAATGAAGGGCATGAGGGGCATATACATCCCATATATATCGCACACGATTGAAGCACACATGTCTTCCTCCGCTATGGTGCCGGAAAATACTGAGAATGAGGCGGCAGTGGGAAGTCTAGCAGAACTTTTCGAAGGTGATCGCAGGATCAGAGACCGCATGCGTGAGCATGGATGCCTGATATTGTGGGTAAAGCCTGAAACAATGGGTGTTCCTAGCATGTCAGGCATTGCTTTGAACATTGAACCACTGAGACTTCTTGCCCAGTGGTGGTGCCCACAACAAAAGCATGCCAAGTCACCTTCTGTGACACGCTTGAAGCAGGAGGCCCGGCTCTGGGTATTTTACCATGGGAATGTTATGAAAACTGCTCACAATATTTTTGTTTAACGGTTACCAATATTTACACCACCATGCACCCATTAGGCCCATTAGCTTTTGGTTTATATCTTAAGAGTGTTTTCAACCAGTGCTTGGTAGGTCCATCGCCTACGGTCAATTTGCTCCCTGGTGGCCGATGCTCCCAAAATTCACCATGATGCATGGGGCTTGAAGAAGTTATTTTCGTATGCCTGTCGCCGATCAGGGGGTGACAAGGAGTTTGCCGAGGGCTCTCCGCATAGAAAAGCTCTTTAGCTGAAGGTGCAATTTGTTTGTTCTATTTGTTTTTTGTTGTTGTTGTGTGTGTGTCCTATACTATACCCTTGGACCCGTTGATTGCACGATCCATGCCTCCAGTGAAGCGTTACAAAAGATGGGTCCTGTCATTGGTTCAACACCTCTATATATATAGTGACCTGTGCCTGCACTTAGGACTCGACTGTTGAGCCTTTCTATGAGGAGCTCTTCAAGTTCTGGAATGTCCGCCTGCGACGTGCCAGTGAACCATCACCATCGACAGTTGTGGAAGTGGAGGACTCCGATGCTGAGGATGACCTGTGCCATTGGGTTGTGAAATCTGACCCCTACCCCTCCTCACCTGTGAAGATGGCAGCTGAAGCTGGTGCACCTGTTGAACACAGCCTGCAGGGGGCTATCACAGATTCTGGTGCATCAGTTTTGGAGGAACCTCTGATTGCAAAAGAAGAGGGTGCAATGCGTGACCAGCTCAAGACTGAAGTCGACAGTGGGGAGGCCACGAAGAAAGTGTCAACCCAGAAGGGCTTCAAGGAGCGCAGTACAAGTCTATCAAAGCAAGAGATTGAGGACAGGATCGCATACCTTACGACACCTGGTTTTTGATGTAACATGTTTGCCAGGGCCAGCTTGGCTTTTGCTCAGAGTTAATATATATACCTGCATGGGTATACGGAGACCAACACAAATAATGCCAACTAGAGCATAGTTGGCCCTATATTTGTTTTTTAGTGCTATCTCAACCCCTCTTTCTTGGAATGTTTGGTTAATTTTGGTTACTTGCAGACCTTGGTTGCCTGCTTGCCCCAGTAAGGAAACTCCTGAGCGACAAGGCCATGAAGAATGTGAGCACTGCAGCTCTTGACTCTGAGGATACTCAGGTGTATGAGGCATCTCCCATTGCTGCGGGACTCCAAAAGACGAGTTCAGTCATTTCCTTGGACGATGACTCTGACACAGAGCCACCGACTGATGATAACCTTCGCCGGTCTTTGGCCACAGAGTTTTCAACCGTTTACAATGCAGGCCCGCTGGTCATGAAGAAGCAAACTTTAAAAAGTTTTGGACATAGTGTTGGGGTGGGTCGATATTAAATTTCCTTATATAATTACTATTAACATGTTAGCGCACACTGTGTCAGGTGGACATGCGATGGGAGATGATTGGACCGACTCACAAGTGCCTATGGATGGATATGGGCCGCTGCAGCTTCATGAGCCAAAGGAGCAGGGTGAGACAGAAAGTGGTGCGAACAAAGCGTTGGCACAATCTGAAGAAGCTCCACAAGCTGGGTCTTCACAAGCTGAGAAGCTTCCATGTGGTGAAGCACCCTCCGGTCATTCAACTGGCATCCTTGAAAATCCAGTCGTGAAGGAGCCTGACGAGGTCACCAAGGAAGAGCTTGTACCAGCACATCTGGAGCCTAAGGAGGTCACCAAGGAAGAGCTTGTACCTGCACATCCGGAGCCCAAGGAGGTCAGCAACGAAGAAGTTGTACCAGCACATTCGGAGCCTATGGAGGTCACCAAGGAAGAGCTTGTACCAGCAGATCCGGAGCCTAAGGAGGTCACCAAGGAAGAAGTTGTACCAGCACATCCGGAGCCTAAGGAGGTCACCAAGGAAGAGCTTGTACCAGAACATCTGGAGCTCGAGGAGGTCACCAAGGAAGAAGTTGTACCAGCACATCTGGAGCCTATGGAGGTCACCAAGGAAGAGCTTGTACGTGCACATCCGGAGCCCAAGGAGGTCACCAAGGAAGAAGTTGTACCAGCACATCTGGAGCCTGAGGAGGTCACCAAGGAAGAACCAATTGAGCCTGAGGCCATACTAGTTGAGGAGGTTGGAGAAGGTGAAGGTGGTGGTGACAAAGGACCTTTCAAGGAGGAAGAAGTGAAGGAGGAGCCTCCCCTGGTGTTGAGGTGTCATCAATGGGAGATAAAAAACGCTTCGGTGGAGAAGGAGACTAAGAAGCAAAGCAAAGGCAAAGGGCGTGGGCGTGGGCGAGGCCGTGGGGGTCGGCGTGGCAGGAAACAGGCAGAGCCTGAGGTGATTCGTGATTCCGATGAGGAGGAGGAGGAAGGTGGTGAACCACCAGCCAAGAGGCAAAGAAAGAAGACTCCATGTGCAAAGCCAAAAGCCAAAGGGAAGGCAAGAGCCAAAGCCAAGGTCTGTGCGACCGAAGCTTCCAGCCTGCCCGATGGTGGTTCAGATTTGGCTGAGGACGGGAGTTTGGAAAATCATGACATACCGGTTGCTTGGTGTCTTTTGTCACTGGAAGGGGTTGAAGAACTCAATCGTGTCTATGGGTGGGGTCCCTGCGCACTGCAGGGCAAAGAGGAAGGTGATGGTGAGGTTGCTGGAGCGAAGGGTCTGAAGCGGAAGATCGAGACCCCAAATGAAGTTGATGAGGAGAAGCCAGAAAAGCAAGAGAAGGAGCATATCAAGAGCTTTGCAAGGCGTCCAATGCCTCGAAGCAACCCTGCGCAAAGCAGGTGGACAGCGATCCGGGATGTTTTTCATGACCAGATCCGGCAATATTTGGTTCAGTATGGATTCGCGAACTGCAGCAGCTGGGAGGCAAACGATTCAAACCTGTTGTGTTATTGGGCCTTCTCTCTCGATGTTAAATGTCTAATTTTTAATATTTTTGAGTATAGATCCCCAACCTGCCCTTCGATTGCCCTGGAGGCTGAATGGTGGGATTCCTGCATGGATGCTTTGCAGAACCATGCCCCGGCCGATGCCAAAAAGGGTGAGATCAAGTGCCCTGCCTTGGATTTCCCGAAGCTGGTTGCAGAACATGCCCAGGTTTACCTCGAGGAGACTTGTCTGAGGATGGAGCCAGAGAGCCCGTAGATCGATCGATGAACTAAAGACCTGGTGGACATCCGGGTATATGTGTTATCAAACACATGCTTTAATTTGTGTGTCTAGTGCAGCCATCCCTGGAATCAAAGTTGATTGCAGCATTTGTTAAACATATATGCCATCAGAGTTTCTTATTCAAGAGTTTCTGTTACAGGGAGATGGTTTCTGCAATGTTTGAAGCGAGCGATCATTTTGTGGCACTGCCTTATGGCAGTGATGCCGTGCAATTTGTTTGCATGCACATGCACCTGCGTGTATGTCTATACGCAGTCCCTGTCTCAACTCTTTAGGTGAATCGTGTGGTGGGAGACATGAACAAAAGGTACTCTGGCTGAGAATCTTCCGGTCCAAGAACATATTGATCAAAGAAGTTTTCCTGTGACTTAAAGTTCATATAGTGTGGCTTCTCCTCATGCATATGCGATTGCAACCCCCCCTATCGATCTATTTGGCCAGGTGGTGATCCGCTCCTACATGTACGGTGTGCGGAGAGGGTGTGTCGGCTTTGCAAAATATGGGATTGGATCTACAAGTTCAGGTGACACTGGCGAGACTTCTGAAGAAGAAAACAGCAAATATATTTTAAGATTTCAGTTGTCTTTCAGCATTCATGTGGTGGGCATTTGAACTTTTGGAGTTATCATGTTCAAGTGCTATAAAGTTGGGCTCAATTTTAAACAGTGTGACACCAACCCTGTGTGCAAAGTAGCATGCTATGCAAATGCAAACAACTGGATTCAAGTCCACTTGAAAGTGCGAAACAGTCATACAAACACTGCATCCTCCGCCCTGCAGCAATGACGCCTTCCCAATTTGATATCTTGCTCCAAAGGCTTATAGCGATGGAAACACCAAAGGATTCTTGGATTTTCATTCAAAAACAAATGAGTGCATACAATAATCTTCCTTTGGGGGCTGGGTCGCTTGTACGCCCTTTGCCTTCCAAGGTGGTTGTCTTCTTGGTCATCTTGGTTTGGCACCTGGATATCCCAAAGCCTCCTCAAGAATATCAGTTTCTAGAGTTTTATGCGGGAGTAGGGCGAATCGCGACCTTGGCCAAATGGTGTGGCTTCGCCACTGCTGCTGTTGATATTCGGTATGGTGCACACCGTCAAAGGGAGGGTAAACGGCGACCAATGGATATCAACGGCAACGCTGGCCTCGTGTTCCTTGTTTTCTTTGGTGCTTCTTTGTGTTTGTTGATGTGAAAAAAACATGTTTTGGGTATTCCATGCCTGTCTTGCTTTTTTGGGGCCAAGGCTTTGCATTCATCTACTTTTGACTTCACAGTGGGAGCAACTCGTGGCCTTCTTTGCAATCGTTTGTTCGTCCTATGTGCCAGTAAACAGGCACAGCACAGGGAGAACACTGTTGACTCCTCTGGGAAATGAACATTTTATAGGAGTGAGGCGATCCAACAAGATGACCTCGAGGACATGGCATTGGGTGGCTAACATTGTACATGCATGGATGTGTGTGCATATGCAATGCTTTCCTTTAAACTCTAAAGGTCTTTGTCTGGTCCAGGACTGTGATATTGATATGGATCACTATTCTCTCAGGAGGAACGTATCTCATGGAAAACCCTCATGGGAGTTTTCTCGCCTTTCATCCTCGGTACGTATGGATGCTTAAAAAGCTCGAGGCTGTTGGTATTCTGGTGTCTTGACCAAAGTCCATGTTTGCTTTTTGCAATGCCACAAAAACAAAGCATCAACTCTGAAGTTGCATGTGAAACATTGCAATTGCTTACCACTAAGACTTACAAAACCGCCTTTTGGATGCGGAAATATGGCTCAATCTCTTGGAAAAGAACATGGGTGTGGGCAAACAGTCGCCGCATTGGATCCCTAGACTTGGGGCCGTTGACGGAGGAAGAAAAGGAAGGTTGTGAGGAAACAACTATCCGTTATGAGGATGCCCAAGGCAAGATCCGTTGGAAAGGTAATTCCAACCTCAAGCTGACACAGTACCCTAACTGGAAAAGGTCAATGTGCACGATTTGTTTTTATTCTTCTATATCATCCGGTTCTACATGAACCCCCACGTTGAACACACACATCGCACACCGTTCCCAGGCAATACACCTTCAAATTTGCTGGCACCGTGACCCGATTGCTGCCAAAGATCCGCGAGGACACCAGGTCTCAGAAGTTTCCTGCCAAGGCCAGGAGTCTTCAAGAAGCTTCCCCACCCTGCATGGAACTAGATCACATGCAATCCGTAACATCCAGTTTAGATGGAATCCAAATGGTGCATTTGATTCTTGTACCATACCCGGCGTAGAACTGGTATTTATTAATAGTTTGGTGCCTCAGCTTCTGGCGTGCCAGGTTCCGTCGGGATCTACTACCTCGCTCTTTTCTCAGTTGCCATGGGATGTCGAGTCTGTCTCTTGGGAGGAAGAGGCAGACCTGAGGGATGTAATCGAATATGTTCGGGGCTCCAAACTGCTCCGGCTTCCCGATGAGTGGAGGGCTGTCTTTCCAAGTGCAATCTGATGAGCCCTTTTTTGTAGATTAGAAATCCAATTCATGCGTAGATTTTCACTACGCCTCTACGCTGGGAGCTGCTGCCAACTAGGACACACATGCCGGACGGGTTGCACATGTGTTGATGGCAAAAGGAATGAGTGCTGTTTCGTTCGGGATGCACATCTTAGTGCATGGAGAAGTTCATGTTAACTGATATACCCGTCTACTGCTTTAATTGGTTTGACTGTTTGGGCTATATAGCAAATGGTAGCGACACCACCCTGAAAAAATATATTGTTTAATTAAGACATGTCTGGTATTCAGCCTGCTTGATTTGCAGAGGCCTTCCGGTGCCCTTCAAACCACCTCCTTGAAGGGTAGTTTGGAAAAGAGTTTTGGCCCTTTAAAGATCATGGTTTGAACAGGTTCCTGCATGAAAGAAACCGGTATGTTTTGTTCAGGGAAATCTGAGTGGTCAGGTCATGGACATGGGGTTGCATGGCTATATAAAGATCATATGGTGGCAGGGTGTTTCTGAGGTGAATCTTTCAGGGAACATTTCAACCGACTGTTTTCATGAACTGTAGTAGAGCTTCAGGACACTTCATGAACCGTGGGCATGTTTCAGGAAGTTTCCGGAAAGTCACATATAACCTCAAGGTGCATAGAGTTTCAGGAAACTGCATGATACCTGAACATCTTTCAGGAAGGTTCCTGAAAGTCACTTCTTGAAATGCACATCTTGAAACAATCATCTTTCAGGAAACTTCCTGAAAAACAAAACATGTCAAAAGATGGGAGGCGGAATTCCCAGGGACCGAGGCGGAATTTGGTGGGACCGAGGCGGAATTTGCCGGACCTCAATTTTCAGGATGTTGGTTCCTGAAAGTGATCACTTTTGCGCAGCCATTTGGGTGTATCAACTATTTCAGCATGACCTTGGAGTTGCCCTCCCGTGTGTTTTCTAGTGAAACACTCATGGCTGGACTTACAGCGGTGAAGTTAGAGGAAGGACCTGAAGGTTTGGACTCGGAGGATGCCCAAAAAGAGTTGATAGCACTTCAGGACCGGATGCTTTGTGTTGGCGCCCATGGGATACAACATGTATATATAGCAGTAAATCACCCAATACATCAAACCAAATTGCCCTTCTTCGCGGCCTCAGCAGGAACTCAGGGAGGAAATGATCACCGCCACCGATGGTACCACTCCTGATGTGCCAAAGGATGGGGCATGTGAACTGGCTCGACCTGTGCCTACTCCGCTTAGGAACTTGCTGGATCAAGATGACCCCTCTTGCCAGCTGGGGCCAGAAGAAGAGACGATCCCAGCGGATTTGGGTCTTCCTCCACCAAATTCACCAAATGGTGGTGCCAGTGGACGTGTTTCTTGTCACAAACCCACTTGTGAAAACAAATGCATGTCTTCACTAGGTCACATGGCTATAGGGAATTCATAAGGTCGATGCTCCTTCACCTTGTCCTGTGGACAACAATTTGGATACAAATGAGCCTTGGTTGGGACTATTTCTTTTGTTTGCGAACTTGGTGGTATGTACGACCTATACCAGCTCTCATGGCAATAGGATGCAATAGGCCATCCACTGCAACCGGCTCTTCTGTAGGATGCTTCGCTGGCATCTGCATTACAGGGAGCCTTATTCGTGCCTTCTGATGAGCCATGTGTGGAAGACCCGTACCTTCCACCTGTGGAAGTTGAAGACCAGCCGTCTGAGATGGGGCCCTTGGATGATCCATACTTTGTGGGAGGTGTGGATAACTCTACTGCTGAGGAGGTCAGCCAGGAATGCCTTGACCCCATGATGCAGCATATCGCTTCACTTGGTTCCAAATTACCTGATGAGGTAAGGTGCCTAGCTCTTCCTTCAGAAGTCTTATACACCACCAACATAGCTGCTAGATTGATTTTAAAATGTGATTGGGGAAGAAACACAGGACCATCCTGAACGTGGCTCTACCGCTGCTGCTGAACCAGCCTTGGAAACCAAAGGGTCTTCGGGTGATGCTGGCCCTGCGCATGTCTTTGGGCACTATTTTGTGTGCATACTTGGTGCAGGATGTTTGGTATTTTTGCACGGGGTTGCTCCTCCAAGGTATCCCTCGACAAGAATGAGCTCAAGAAAATCCGCAGAGTCATGACTCCCCGTTCGGACGGTTCCCTGTTGGTACCCGCTGAGATTTTGGAGAAGTGGAAAGATACTAATGGGGGTCGTGACGAAGTACTAAAGATGTGGGCAGCCAGCAATGGCCAGAAGGACTTCAAGTGTAGAAGCCCAATTTGCATATTACAAACCAAACCGTCTTCCTTGCACCCGTGCAGCTCCTCCGGCCAACAGGAAATCTTCTTGAAGAGGTTGCACAGGCGGGTTCAGTCCGTCAAGCAGCAGGACCTGTGGGTTGATGGTGAATTCATGTCAGAACAAGACATGATTGACATGAAGTTCCCTCCGCACCCTGGTGTATTGTTTGGATGTTCAAAGCGCAAGATATATGTGTTGTATATTTATATATAACCATGCACTTATATTACTGTATTGGCTTTATCTGAGGCAACGCATCAAATCAATCAAAAGCGATTGCGAGAAAACCCCTGGATTCAAGCGGAACTTTGCCTGCACATACCCTCAACCTGTGACTGTCACTGCCTGCCTCTTCTGCTTTTTTGACGTTGCATTGTTCCAATCGCCTGAGGAGAGACAAGTATGAGAAGCACATCGAGCTTTTCTGGGTGGAAAAGAAAATGGCTGGTCGGCGATTGATTCTCAAAATAACTGCATGAGGGTATTGGGTTTTGATTCAGCTTTTGAGTCCTAGCTTGTTTGCTGATTGTAGTGTTTGTGGGCTACTCAGGAAAAGGAAACGTGAGATTTTTGAAGAGGATGAAGAGCTTTCTGAGTCGGAATATGATAAGTTAAAAAACGCAGATAGCAACATGCCGGACAACATGGGCCTGGACACGGATGATACAGGTGTGGCTAAAACCTGTTCAAACACATTCACTTGCAATATGTTTTGTTTCCACAGTGTTCCACTGTCAGCCGTCCCTCTTTTTTGGGGGTGGATCCTGACCAGACCCTACGGTGGTCATTGAAGCGGACGGTGAGAAGGACAAGAACAAGCTGTTGAGAACCATTACCTGGCCTGAGATGGATAGTGATGCACTTCCTAGCTCGTATATCACACGTGTGCTTACATGCACAGCAAAGTGGAATGCAAAGCTATTAGGGTTGTGTGACACCATTGCTGGTTTTGGAGCAGCTCCTGACCATGTCACTGAGTTCCTTCATTTGAATCGTCTGTTGATATAGTCATCAATCAGTGGCTCTTGTGACCTCGATACACAGTACATTGATCACTTCACTGCACCTTAGGTTGTCAAGGCGTGCTGAATCTATCAGCGAAGAACTCGGCAAAACTACGGATGCCATCACGGCAACCAATACTACCGGAATAGTCGGTGGCTTCCATCGGAAGCGACTTGAATGAACACTGCAATATGTGTATAGAACAGTCAAAGATTGAAGGCTTCTTTATATATCCAGACCTTGGCTCATGCCCTTCAAACAAAACTGAGGGAGCAGGACGAGCTCAAAGTGTCGTTCACAACTGCCCAGAAGCAGTGCCTCGGCAGCCTTTGGAAGCTCCCGGTGGTTTGAAGCTGCTCCTGCTCACTGCTGGACCCGTAGTGGGCTCAAACACAGGCTTGTCAAAAACGGATCCATGCCCAAAAAAGAAACAGTTGATCTATATATTATTTCTTCAGGATGACTGAACTTTGAACTGGTCCATATTTGCAAACAGTACCACCAACTGTAGCTCAAACTGTGGTACTGTCACGTGCCTCAAGTAATTTAGTTACAAACGAAAGGGTCAACCATGTGCACTGGAAGCCGTGAACATGTGGAAGACTACCTGGAAGACTTCTTGGATCTATTAACTTACACTTGTCCCTACACGGGCAAGAAGCGGTGTGCTGCCCAAGCTGCGCTGGAGCTGAGTGGCGAGACGAGAAAACAGAAACCTGTTGTTTGATAACAACAGTTTTCCTGTTTGTGGTATTTCCTCTACGATTGCATTCCCGTCACGATCCAAACACATCTAAACGCGACCGCTTGGTCCTAGAAGGTGGCCTTATAATCTTATGTGTGGAAGAGGTGAAAACATAGTGGAACTATAACATCCAGGTCTTTGTGTCCTTTCAACCTCCACTGGATACTGTGATATACTGTATTTTTCTGTTGCTGAAAAGCCTCTATAGGCCTTCTATCGCAAAATCGCCTGGACTGTTTCCAACGCGGCTAGATGAAGCTCCTCTCCCCAAAGCTGCACAGGCCAGCTGCAACCCTGCGAGCGCTTTGGGCAGTTGGAACAAACCTATGGATGATTCATAGACCTCAAAAGAATATGTTCTTTTCATGTGTACCAACGTGTTTGATGGTATCACGTGTATAACATGCACACAACCTTTTTTTGTGTCACTGTGTCACCCAAGGACTGTGCGAAGCAAAACATCCTTGTGTTGCTAGGTTCTCTTTGCCGCAGTCGTCCATCGCTACACGATGTTCCCTGGGAAGAGTTTCGCCGCTGCTTCATCCACAACAGAACAATGAGGATTCAGATTCCCCGTCCTACCTGTGGGAAAATCCTGGCCCACGCCAAGCAGCAAGTGGTAGGTTTTAGGGAACACATAGGTGTGCAAGTGTGTGTCTTCAAAATAGGAATCACGGCACATCCTGCTCAGCGGTTTCAAGATTATGTGTCAAAGAACTTCAGTGCAATGTGGATTGTTTTTATGAGCAGCGATGCATCTCTAGTAATGATGCTGGAAGCAGCGTTAATCTCAGAGTTTTGCAATTGTTCGGGTTGCAGAAATGCACCGAACACTGGTGGGGAGGGAGCCTTGAATAGGAAGGACCATGCAGGACCACCATTTTTTACTTATGTCACAGGTGGAAGAGCTGACCAAGCAAAACGTGTTGGATAGGTTTCTAGAAGCCCTAAAAAGAGAGTCCTTGTGCTTTTAGCTTCATTTTGTGACTGGTGCAGCTCGGTGTTTGCCTGCAGTCTGTCAGCTGGGGGAATTGCTGATTGGCGCTAAAAGGCGGTGCAGTGGTTGAGTTCTACAAATGTGGTATGTAGCACTCAGAACCGTTCTACAAATGTGGTATGTAGCACTCAGAACCTCAGCAAAGTCATTGCTGGTCTTTGGTATAACCCCATGTGTTGGTCCAAGCTACATGCAACCGTGCCTTCATTTTCTTTAAGGTGCGTGGATGCGTTGAATCTGTGCACACGGTCTCAGTCCGCTTCCTAGTTGAATGGTCAAGTGCATGCCATGCATGTATGTTGTGGCTTTTGCTCGCCAACCCCACGACACACATGCAGCAAATGCTATCATCCGAGGCCCTTCATCTCCCACATCAAGTCCCAGCTGAAGAAGAACCAAAGAGAGCAGGATCGGAAGGACAATCCTCGGACCCCTGCTCCAAAGCCAAAGGCTAAAGTTAAAGCGGAAAAGCACGAGACGCCTCGTAGGTAGATTCTATATGTGATTTTGTGGGCAATTCGCTCTTCTCTGCATAGAAAGGTGATGTATCGGAGTGTTAGGCCATAGGTGACGGGTATAAAGTGCGGTTTATCTTTTTGTGTGTTGAAATGCTTTGGAAAGCTCAATGGCACCATGAATCCCAAGCGTGCCTTTGCTTGCACTGCAGAGTATGAGCGGCTTGATGGGGGTTTCACAAGGTGTCCAGGTATATCCTTGTGCCGTTATGTGATTTGCAATCGCTGAGTCGCTGGGTGACAGAACATCCAGTGAAATGATTGTGTGCATATAGATCCTACGACCGGCTCTGCTCGAAAAAAACATTTGTGAGGAGCTGCACAGCAACACTCACAGACTCACAGCTTGGCTTGGATAGCGTGTGTAACACGGCCAGGTTCTAAACCGGATTCGTCTGACCACAGCTCAGCTGGACCTCTTGTGGAACACATTGTTGAGAAGATCGCTGATGGAGCCCTTTGGACTACTATATATATGTTGTTTTCGCGCGCATTGACCATTGAAGGTGTAACCACATGCAATCCCCACCCAGTAGACCCTCTGCCTCCCAAGGCCACGGCTTCTACACTGCAAGAGCATGGGAACGCCTTGCAGGAGGAGATGAAGGGTCACTCTCTGAGTGGGCTGCACCC